TAAGGCTCTTCTCGTGAGTAGAGAACACGTGGAGAAATTTCTGGAACGCGTCTTCTCCTTCGTAGTTGTAACGACACTGATGATTAAACATACCAAGAGGGTACTGTCAAGAGAAAGAGAGATAAAGAGAAGACCAAAGAAAGAGAAAGAAGAAGAACGAATTTGGTAGAAACTAACGACGAGATGACAACCCCTGAGCTCTCTCTCTCTCTCTCTCTCTCTCCTCGCAACATCATCACCTCTACCAGGAGCTTAATCAACCCGGCCCGGATGCCGAAAGTCTAAAGCCACCCTCTGCCCGTCTTGCTGCCTTACAACCCCTTGAATAGACCGAATGGAGACCGGCGGAGTAAAGAGATAGATAGAGATAGAGAGAGAGAGAGAGAACTCAACTGATCCAGAGACGACGAGCATAAAGCATCCGAGCTCGTCTGAAGTGGGACACGGTGCTGTTGGAGTAGTGATTACACGTGGACGCCCGGTGCTCTTGCCACTGCCAGAGGATGGCACTGATGCCGACGACACTTGCTAACCGTAATCAGGCCGCCTTTCTTGCACTCTACCTTCTCTCCTCCCTAACTTCTAACTTCACCTACTGGCTGCGAAAGAGAAGTCAAATTTTGCTTCGCAAGACAACTCCGATATTGGATTATTACATTCAACTTTGTACTTTTTATCGTTTTCTACTTTTTCGATTATGATAATGAAGCGTTTCTAACAATTTATTCTGTTTTTTTTTTCTTTTCTCTTTTTTCTTTTTTCTTTCTTCTTTCGTCGTTTCGTCGCTCAAGAACTATCTAATTGACAAAATTCAAACAAAGATAATAACGTAAACGGTAAAGGGAGTCTTTCTTTATTTTAATTAAGTAGTCGATGCTCGATAAAATGAATAACACGACAAAGTATATAAAGAAAAAAAGAAAGAGAAAGAAAAATGAGAAAGCCGAAGAAACGACGAAGAGAGTGAACTGTTAACTCGTACCCTCTATCGTTCCTTCCAATCCTCTTCGCATCGTTCCCAAGGTGATTTTACCTTTTCTAATAAAAAGAACCTTGCTAACGATCTCGCGGAACGAAGTAAAAGGGATCTTAATTCTAAATCGTTTGTGATTAAAGACTGCACTACCTCTTTTCCTTCGGTTCTCCTCGTAACAGACGGCTGGGGTTTGGTATATCATTATGAGGGTAATCGCGTTAAGGATTTTGTAATTTATATATACCATATTCGTTAGTTCTACGTAAATATGTGTATGCAACGAGAAAACGTAATTTCATTGATAATGACTTTCAATAATTATTTCTAAATAATGAAATTGAATGGTGATTTCTAATAATTAATATCAACGAATGATTTACCAATAATTAATTTCAATAACGATTTATATAACAATAATTATTCAATAATAATAATAATAATAATAATAATAATAATAATAATAATAATAATAATAATAATTGTTGAATTTTTAAATAAATTATATCAATGATAGATTCTCGATGGTAGGATAGATAGATGAAGATAAAGGAAGAAATAAAGAGGTGACGAGAGTGGATTGTAAGACGCGCACAGGTACCAGCAATAATATTGTCGGTGAAACGCGGTGCATCATTTTATCGTGTCGCATACGATGCCATTAACTTTACGGCCCCGGCGTGCCTCCCGGCATGCAAACGCCTCGACTTCCATTACCGGCACGGTACGTCGACTATTAAACAGAAATATCTTCCCGTCCTCGCGGCGACGGGTGCCCTATCCTAAACTCTCAGGGAATTCAGTTTCCGCGGATTTGCCTTCTCCTTTCTACCTATCTACCTACCTATCTACTCTCCCTCCCGGTCCCTTCTCTATCCCTCCTTTTCTATCTCATACTCTACCACTTTACCCTTCTTGCCATCGTCGTTTCTATCGAAATCAGAAACGAAGACGTTGCTGCTTTTACTTTTGCTTGTATTACTATTCCATCAAGCAATCTTTCTATGAAATCTCTCTTTCTCCTCTGTTTTTCTTTCTTTCTTTCTCTCTCTCTCTCTCTCTCTCTCTCTCTCTCTCTCTCTCTCTTACACGTAAGTATTTCCGTGCAATACTTACGAACGAGTAAAATTCGTCTACGCTTGCATATTGACCGGTCAAAGTTTTCGTAAGTCTTGTTCCTATCCGGAACAATTTTCAAGATTGATCTGAAATTTATTGAGAATTTATTTAATTGATTTTTAACGAATGATATTATAAAAAGAAACAAAAACCAATAGAATACCGTAAAAAATTAATCAGAAAGAAAGAAATTTTATTCGAGCAAGTTCACTTTAAAAATCATTTATTATTTCGTTTGAAACGTTTCGTAAAATCAAGAAACGTAGATCTCGTTTGCGAGTTTTCTTTCGTTTTTAGGAAATGACATTACGAGCTTTTACGTTATGGTTTAGTCGTTGTAACTGCCCGTAGTAAGCTAAAGTCGTTAGATGGAAAAGCATCTGGTTTTCCACATAGGCAACGCATGCCACGGCCATTTCTAGCGTTAACATCCTCGGTTGATCCTTGTCCTCGTCATCATATCCCTCGTTCCGAACTATCTACATCTCTAACTCACAAACGGGGATAGCAATGATTAGTATAACGAGGGAAGCCACATGTAGAGAGGAGGCTTACAGGTAACGCGCATGGAGAGATGGTTCTCTGCTTTTAATTACCGGCTTCTATCTGTACGAGAAGATAGAAGGGAATAGTAGTGTCGGCAAGCTCTTAATGCAGCTACGCGTTGTACTTAACGCGTAATGCGTATCTATCCAACGTACACGCGTAAAGGATACGCACGCATAGTACAATCACGCATACAACTCTACCATTAACAAAGAGGTTGATAACTAACCGAATGGAATTAGTACATTCTACTATTACGATTATTTATCTTTCTATCTTTTCGAACGAATAAGTAACTAAAGATTGTTATTGATTAATTTCTTTCTGAATGAATTTCTCAAATTGCTAAAATAGTTAAGTAACGGATTGAGTATTTAAGATGTAAATTCGAAGACTCGAAACGATGTTGAGATAGTTCAAAGGAACTAATTTCGTTAAGTCTCACTGCTAAGTTCCATGGAAATAAACGTATAGATGGTAAAGGAAGAAGGTGAGGGATGAGATTCGATAGGAGAAACGTAAGGCGTAACTGTAATGCTATACTACTTCGTGTTCGTCGTTTTGCAACAGGAAAATGGTTTAGGAAGGTTTAAGAGAGAGAGAGAGAGAGAGAAAAACGATGAAAGAGAAAGCAAGGGAGAGGATTCTCTCTCTCTCTCTCTCTTTCATTTTCTCTCTTTCTCTACCGACTCTTTCTTTTGCTTGACGTTATATTGCACGTTTCCCGGTAACGAAAGCTCCGTTCGACTCGCTGCTCTGTACGCGGCGGTATTTCAAGAGTAATTGTAGTCACCGAGTACGTAGTTTCCTTAAGAAGATTATCTTAACTACGAGACTCGTCGAAATCCCCTGCGACAGTTATTATTAACGTGCCCGGCGCGGCATAACGTTTTGCACCAACTTCTACTGGAAAGCTATATGCTACGAAATAGCTTTACTTCGAGATCACGAAATATACGAATCTCGATAAGAACGTAAAAAAAAAATGTCGTGTACTGGGTTTTTTCCTTCTTTTTTCTTCCTTCTTTCTCTCTCTCTTTCTCTCTCTCTCTCTCTCTCTCTCTCTCTCTAAGTTTTTCTTTTTAATTTAAAAAATCAGATACAGATAATTTAACACAAGATCACGATTTATCGTAATTTTTATATATCACTGTAATTAATTCTAATAACAATGATATCACGCATTTGTTCAGAGTCATAGTAATATTTCATATTATTCTAAAAATAATATTTACTTTAATTTTGTTATTATACGAGGATACCTCTCGTGTCTAGAATTCGAGCATTAAATAAAACAAGAACGAAAGAAAACAAAAATAATAATAATAAAAAAAAAAAGGAAAGAAAGAAAGCAGAGGATGTACGTCAAAGTCAGCGGTCAACTTGCTTTCCAGTCTCTTCGTCTTTTGGTCGTTTTTGGGTCGAGCCTTTGAATGAAGGAAGAGGAGAAGGAGGAGGAGGACTGTATAGAGGGTACAAGGGGTACAATTTCAAGGATCGCCGGCGTTTCTGCTCGTGACAGAGTGCACGGGAGTGGCACGCGACGTCCGCAGGAGATCGATCGTTAAGGCTAACGCGTTTCGGACGATTGACCGTGCAAACGAACCACTTCCTGTTCCGAATCGTAGCCGCGACCTGGTCACCGACACGAAATGCTTTGTGTGTCAGGAAGAAAGTGTCCGAGGCGGTTATGGGCTGGGAAGTGTAACAATGGCTCAACGAGATGTTCGAAAATGTTCTACATTGTGTTTGCTCGATCGTAGAGAACAACAGTTCTCTCTTTATTTTATATATATATATACGTTTTTTTTTTAAATAATTACAATAGGTATAATAAAAAAATTGTTGTTTAATAATTTTAATAATTAATAACACAAAAAGAAAACAAGAGAGAAAGAGAAAGATAAAAAGACGAATATACGAATTTTTGTTACTAGCGTTGACCTTATTCCACTACGATCTATATATATACCAAGATATGTAACACAAAGATGATAGTTATCTAACGTGAGAGCATCCACTTGTTTGCGCCAACAAAATGTGAAGAATGCACTCTTCTTGTCTCCTTCTTCGAAGTTGTAAGCTTGAGCTTTTTTAGCTTGGCGACAAAAGAAAAAAGGATTGTGAAACCCTTTGGAAGGTGTGCTACTACTGTTATATATAACAAGGAGAAAGATGAGACGAACTCCTCAAATATTTATATAATGTATGTATATGAAAATGAATGAAAGAAACCAAAAAAAAAAAGAATTAGAAATTACGATAATCTATATACGTATCTAATATATATCATATATTTTTATAGTAATTTTATTTTATATCTTTAATGTATTAAATCCTTTTCTCTTCTTTTCTGTTACAGAGGGATGCTCTAAATCTGGAACCAAGTAATGTCGCTAATTGTGTTTCAAAGGGTAAATCCGAGGTAAGATTTATCGAATTAAAATATCCATTTATTTTCTAAATCGATCTGAATCATTAATTCGAATGACAAAAAAAAAATTTTTATTTCAATTTGATAGAATTAAAAGGATTCATTTATTATTGACCATTTAATTTATTTATTTAATTTAATATTTTCTTGGCTTTTTTCATTAACGTCAGAAATATGAAGTGAGAATAAATTTAATCATATTTCTCATAACATTTCAAGTACGTTTCTTTTTTTTTTTTTCATATCATTTCATATTAAGTACGTTTAAATGGAAAGAGGAAGAGAGGGGGGAAGGAGGGGGGAGAAAGAAAAAGAAAGAGAAATATATTCAAGAATAAAGAGTAAAAAAAAAGAAAGGTAAGATTTTTCTTGGTCGATCGTGTTTTTCATTCCTAAATCGTTCGCATATCACAGAGGTGCACTTCTCTCTTTCTCTCTCTCTCTCTCTTTCTCCTTTATAACATCGAAGGCGGACGCTTAGCTGAGCTTCATTTATATTCATCGTGTATGCATAGCCGAGGTGTAAGGTCCACGCAAATATTCCGTACGTGACGACAAAGCCAATTTATTTTCCGTACCGATTGGCTGCGAAATACGCGCCCGACGTGATCGACCGCATGATTCTCGCGAAATAGAGAAAGAGAGAGAAAGAAAGATGTATATATATCTTGGTGTGAATGAAAAAAAAAAAAAGAAAAAGAAAAAGAAAGAAAAATATATATATAGCTGTAGTCTTTTCTTTTCTTTTCTTTTCTTTTCTTTTCTTTTATTTACTTATTTCTCTCTTTATCCTTGAATACAATTTTTCGGATAGCTCTCATCTCGCGCGAAATACAAGAACGAAAAAATCAGCAACACATTTGAAGTCCCTCTTCCGTGCGGCCCTCGTTTCTCTCGTTCGACGAAAAATTCAATTTCCTTCTTTCCCTTTACTTTTCAGCATTTCGACTGTCGTAACCACATAAGAGTGATACAACCAATGGGAGATGGCAATCGACTCTACATGTGCGGCACAAACGCACACTCTCCAAAGGATTGGGTGATTTATGTGAGTACAGTTCCTCCTATATACCGGTATTTATAGTTTTTCGTATTTGCTTCCAATTTATCGCGAATCTATCAATATAATTGATTTTAAGATGAAACAAATTTCAAAAAAAAAAAAAAAAAAGAAAAAAAAGAAAAGAAAGGAAAAAATCATGAAATATTCTATTTTCTAAACGCAACATCTAATTAACGTAATAATAGAAATTTCTGTTTCCATTGGGTATACAATGGCGACGTATCGCATTATGCCCATTCCAATCTACATTCATTAGGTAGTATATTACACCCAACGGATATACATAATTACAAAATGGCTAATAGAATATTATAATATGCATTCTGTCTGTTACATCCCATCGAATTCAATTTCCGTTTTCGTTTGCAGAGCAATCTAACGCATTTACCACGACACGAGTTCGTTCCCGGCGTTGGGATGGGTATAGCAAAGTGTCCTTACGATCCTGCTGATAATTCGACGGCAGTGTGGGTAGAAAAGGGCAATCCTGGTGATTTGCCGGCCCTTTATTCCGGCACAAACGCCGAATTTACGAAAGCCGACACAGTCATCTTTCGTACGGATCTTTACAATTTGACGACCGGCCGAAAAGCTTTTAGCTTCAAGAGGACCCTCAAGTATGACTCCAAATGGCTCGATAGTGAGTACATTTTTTATTTATATATATATATATATAAAAAGATTCGATTTATATTTTATTTTATTATAGTTTCATTATTATTAGCGTTATTATAAAAAGAAAAAATTTCAAAGAACGATGGAAGATTATTGGATAAAATCCAGTTACAAAGATCGATCGTAAAGCGGCTAATATCGTAGATAATTATTATCGGAAAACGTTCAAAAGTGCATTCCCTTCCTTTCCATAATAGTTATCCATTGCGAGAGTACTTTGCCAACTAAGAATAATCCAAGAGTGAAAGAGGAGGCTAAGCGCCAACCCTCTCTCTCCGTTCTTCGTTCCTTCTAATATTGACACAAAGGACGTAAGTTAGAGACGGAGAGCCTACAATTACTAGGTGCATTCGCGACAATGAAATTTCCATTAGACTTAGAACGGAGTTTTGACAGGCTCGAGAGAGAAGAGAGATAGAGATAGAATGAAATGGTGAACGTCGTCTAAAAAGCTCGAAGTTCGGGGTGAGTTTACTCGAAGAACAAGAGGGTGAGAGGGAGAGAGAGAGAGAGAGAGAGTGAGAGAGAGAGAATAAGTAGACAAGGCCGGAAGAGCGACGGAGTACTTTGAAGTAGCGAAAGCCTTTCGTATTTCGAGGGACACGTTTTCGGGGCTTAAACGATCGCGGCGTAAAGCCCCTCGCGTGTTGGGAAGCTTTTCCCCTTTTCCTCTGCTGCACTACCCTGTCTTTCCATTTCCCAAGGCCGATGGTAGCTTCCTCCTGAACAACTCGCGACAGCCTCTTCGAATAGTAGCACACGAAAAGACCGAGACCGATAGCACGAGAGGGTGAGACGTTACTTACGCAGGGATGCTTTGAAAATCTTCGAGTGAATTATCGAATGTATGTGTGTGTGAGAGAGAGAGAGAGAGAGAGAGAGAGTATGAATGGAAGAAAGGAAAGTAGGTGGTAACAAAATAACACTCTTCTTTATATAGCCCTTCGCCAACTAAACGGCTACCATTTTTACGTCCCTTTTTGTCTCTTAACATTATTGTTTCTATGTATCTTTTTCTTCCTATTTTTTTTGTTTTTTTTTTTTTTTTTTATATCTCTATAAAGGGCGGTGGAGGGAACGGAAGAGTTTGTATATGCTAACTTTTCTTCTATGAATCATACGACGTCTAAACGACGCGATAATGTTACTTTAATTAATAAACTTGTTGATATTAGAATATCTTAATCCATTAAAAAAATTCTATTCAACATTCAAAAGAATATTATTAGAAAGAATTGAAGTAACGAGTATACTTACTTCTTCAATTAATTAACGTCAAGCTTACTCTGATTTCACAAAATGTATTCTCTCTCTCTCTCTCTCTCTCTCACGCGCGCGCGCGAAATAGTAGCGAGGGATGTCGAGCATTGCCCAAGTAGTGGTTGTTGGAAATACTAGCGTGAAAGTAGTTGCCTTATATTTCTCAAGAGGGTACTCTTCTTCTTCCTTCTCTCTCTCTCTCTCTCTCTCTCTCTCTCTCTCTCTCTCTCTCTCTTTTCCTCTCTTTCTATCTCTGTTTTTCCCGTAAGCGAAACGTGCCACTACTCGACCTCTTCTCGACCCGACAGCCTCGAATCGTCGAGCGTAAGGGGTGAAAGGTGAATGGTGCGACTCCACTTTGTATCTTTCGTGGCACCCCCCACGGGATGCATGATTAGCCATTTGTTTCGTCGTTTAATTTGAGGACGGCCCCTTTTACCCCTCTCACTCCCTCACTCTTTCACTTTCCTACCCTACGCAGACTCCTCGCTCGCTATCAAGAGCCATTCTCCGCATCGAGTTTGTCTATTAGCAGAGGCGTTGATTAAATGCAAGAGTAAGAGTAAGAGAGAGAGAGAGAGAGAGAGAGAGATGGAGAAGGAGAGAGGAGGAAGGAAGGAAAGGGAGGAGGGATCTCGAGACGAATGAATTCGCGTCTTCGAAATTCTCTACCCTCTTCCCTCTTCTCTCCTTGTATATGTCTATGTATTTACGTGTCTATGGCAACAAGAGAAAATTTGCGCGGATATTCCCTGACGTAATAACTTTCCCCCTGACTTTAATGAAGGAATTACGTTGGTATCTCGCTTTATTTTCGGTCTACGAAGGTGTCGACTAAGCTCGTTGTTTAATTTCATTTACCTGATCATTCGATATGTTCTCGACCGATGATTCACGTAGTTTTGTTTGTTTAGATTTATGCAAATTAATAAATCATTAATATCACTCCAGTTAAATTTGATTTTGACATGGTAAAGATTTATTTTTCAAAAAAAATTCATTCATAGCTATGTTATATATGAGATACGTTTTAACGAATCGATATTGACGAGATCGATTCTATTATATCGATAATATTCGAACACGTGATTAAAAAGAGGACATTTTTCCCATTAAAACAACGTTTCTTTCAACCCTCTACGACTTTTCGTTCCAAAGTTATCGCCTTCGAAAGATAGCCATTCATAATTCGATAATAACATATGTTCGTAGTACTATAAGCGAAAAAAGTATTTACGCTAGTCAGCTGAGCGGCTTGCGTAAATTCCAAGAATTTATATAGGTTAGTGTGTTAATCTGAATTTATCAATGAAATCATATAGGCCAATATATTATCGAAACTATTTGTTTTTTAAATTGGAATATCTTCGGTATTAAAGGTCGTAGAAATTTGAAATAAAAACCATATTAAAGCTTACACTTTCCACTATCATTTGATCATATTGTTAATAACAAATAACAATTTGTTATAAACAATATTTTATAAGAAAATTTTTATAATTAATTTTTTTTTTCAATTAACCATAAATAACCCATATATACATATATGCGTTTGATAAATTTTTTTTTATAAATAATTTGTTATAAACAATTTTCATGAATAATTTTTTGTTCACTAACGCTAGATACTCAAATAGATATACATAGATATATACAAACAAAATATACATAGACATATACATTTAACAATTTGTTATAAATAATTTGATAAGATATATAATCTAATCAACGATCTATGTATTAACAATTGATGGTAGTATCTCTCTCTGTACGCCTATCTCATGTCTAATGGAGAACAGTCCGCTTGGGATATTTACTCACCGATCGATTGATCATTTGCAAGGTTCAATTGGTGGTTTACTAGTAGTAAATTAATTGTAGTATATTATCATATGTTACAATAGAACGAGTTCATTGTTTATTGTATTTGCATTGTTAACGATACATAGATATAGTCCGATATATATATATATGTTCTCTATTGAATTTTATCATACAAATAGAGTTGGAAATTTTTAGACATTAGTTAGTGCCCCTTTTGTTAGTAATAACTAATATTATCACGCTCTAGTTCGTTTCAAATCATTCATCATATGGTAATATTCGTTCCTGTAACATACTAACACTTAGAGAATCGTTTCTAAATAAGTTTTAGCATGAAGAGTAGTTATACCGATGAATCATTTTGTTATTAATTAACTTGTTAGCAATTCGAGCAAAATCGAAACATGTCACGAAGAGAAATTCGCAATGGTGCATCCATTGTCTTTGCTTTTCGAAAAGTTCCTCGAATTAGTTGACGAACGATACAAAGTTGAAATGGATATATGATCAGCGAAGTGGGAGCAAGAGAGCAAAAGCGACAGAGATAGATAGAGAAAAAGAGAGAGAGAGAGAAAGAGAGAGAGAGAGAGAGAGAGAAGAAGGACCGAAGGGATACGATAAAGAGAGAGAACGTCACGAGAGCCCTTAACAAGCTCTGAATAACTGACCGACGAGCGTCCACTTTCACGCGTCCTTGCGCATGCGAAACGAGCTTTCGACGATGTCGCGTGACTACTTCCTCCTTCGTGGATATTATACTCGTACGTTTGCTTCTCTCTCTCTTTCTCTCTCTCTCTCTCCTTCTTGCACTTTCAAACTAGTTTAGTTAAACCTATTCTATGGTGCTCGTTAAGATTTAAGGTCGATGCACTTTGGCCGGTATATATATATATATATATATATATATATATATATATATATAAAACTATGTATTTTGTTCCTTTTTATGATCGAAATTATGCAAATTATTTAAGCACAAGATGGCTGCCCCTCTTCACTGCTGATGAACGAAGTGTGTGTGGGTGCGCGCGTGTATGTGTGTATATATATATATATATAAAGATAATGAGGTTTCCTTCATTAATGCTTTGCAATTGTTTATCCAATACTCAACTTGTGAAATATACTCGCTTATTATATTATTTACGAAAGAATGTTAATAATCTGTAAAATAGTAATTAAAGGATCTAGCATCTTTAAAGAAAATGTGAAATATTTTCAACACAAGGAGGACAATATACCGATAGAAAAAGGTACTCTCTGGACGAATTAATTATTCGCTTTGTGCACATAGTACACCTCGTGCTTGTTTATCGAAGGCAAACGCCTGCTTTATGCAAAATAAACGCGTGCTCGTCGGCGGAGGAAAATGACGGGTTCTGGATGGGGTGGATGGAATTTTTCTGCGTTTAAATCGCTCTTCGTCCTGATACAAACCTTCCCTCCCTCCCTCCCTCCCCCTCTTCCTCTTCCTCTCTCTCTCTCTCTCTCTCTCTCTCTCTCTCTCTCTCTCTCTTTTCTCTGCCATTCTTTTGCTCATTCCCTCGGTTTTACATTAAGCGACGTGAAACGAGAACGAAGTGTTGTGTAAGAGAGAGAGAGAGAGAGAGAGAGAGAGAGAGTTGGTGGGATGGCGCAATCTCTCTTACAGTTCAGCGATTAAATCGATTGTCTGACACGCCTCGATGCCGGAAGTTTGATGTATCGAAGGTGCAAAATGTTTTTTTGAGAATAGATAGAGAAAGAGGATAAAAGAAAAGTACGAATCACTGAAAGAGAAACGTTTGTTCTGTTTTCATCGGTAGGATTCGCGTCTGACTAGTGTCGTATCTATTCCGTTGCGAATGGAAACAGTTGTTATAGCGATACGGAAAGAGAGAAAAGCATTTTCTGTGAGAACGTTGCTCTCGATTTCGTACGGAGAAGAGGAATAATGAAATCACCCGAGGGACAGGTTTCATAAAGTTTACAAGTTTCGTCTCTCTCTCTCTCTCTCTCTCTCTCTCTCTCTCTTTTTCTATATTTCTCTCCTCTCATCCTTTTTTACCGGCTGTATACACCGAACTCGAAATTCCATTTTCAGCCTTCATTTCCAGATGATCGAAAGAGACAGAAGAGATAATTTTAACGAAAATATAATTCTATGAGAAACGGACGGTAGAGATTATCTTCCGAGCGAATGAATGTGAGGCTTTACATTTTTTAAATGTCGACTCTCCCACGAATACATACATTTTTGTTAGAATGTGTTGAAGCAACGTTGGGTTTCGATTTTTGGCCGAGCTTCTGAATTCAAGGAATTATTAGCACTCCGATGCTCGTAACGAGTGAACCGTTAAACGGTTTTACGATTGTGGATCGTAAAACGACAAGTGGATGCTCATTAAACTTTCGTTAAGCCGCTGCCCGAAGATCCGACCAGTGCTAAATGAAAACTACAAAAGTCGTTCGCTCTCTTTATCTTTCTCTTTCTCTTCTACGGTTTTTTCTCACCATGGTGGAAAAAAGCTCTCTCGTTTCTCGTGTTAAGTTAACCCACGACTTGCTAGAATCCTTGGGACGTCCATTTTACAGTTTTCACGTTCACATATATACTCTTCTAGAATTTCCCAACTACCGAACGAACGAACGAACGAACGAACGAACGAACGAACGGGTCTCTGTCGAACCATAATTTTACCTCTTTTACTTTCTCTCTCTCTCTCTCCTTTTTTTGTTTTTTTTTTTTCTTTCTTTCTTTTTCTCCCTTCCGACAAGTTTACGGGTTAAAGCAATGAAGACAACGGCGTATAAAAAGACGACATAAAATTCGTTGCTTCGTTAAGGATCTTTCTTTTTTTGCTTACTCTTTTCTTTTCTTTTTTTGTTTTTTTTTTTTTTTTTTTTTTTTTTTTTCAAACAATGTTTCTGTTTTATTATAATGTATATATCTATATGTTCAGTTTTTAATTTAATTGTTTTATATTATTATTTTTCAGAACCAAACTTCGTTGGATCGTACGACATTGGTAGTTACGTGTTCTTCTTTTTCCGCGAGACCGCGGTTGAGTACATAAATTGCGGTAAAAGTGTATACTCTCGCGTGGCCAGGGTTTGCAAGAGAGACACCGGTGGTAAAAAGATACTGTCTCAGAATTGGGTGACGTATCTGAAAGCCAGACTGAATTGCTCGATACCCGGTGAATTTCCCTTCTACTTCAACGAAATACGTAAGTTATCTATTAATTAAATTTTTCCATACTCTATTTATCAAATAATTCTTAGAATAAAAATTAACCAAAGTTTCGTTTTTATCCGATATTTCGTAATAGATATTAAAATTCGTTCGAATTATCGAATCTCTCGTAAATTTTTTTAAAATTCACAAATATTAAGAACATTTTCTATTTCGATTAATATAATATAATTTAAAAAAAAAAAAAAAAAAAAAAAAAAAAGAGAAAAAGAAAAATACTTTTCATTCACCTGAAAACAAAATCGAATGATGAAAAATTTTTTTACTGTAATTTCAGAGAGCATTTACAAAGTGCCAGGCGACGACACACACTTTTATGGAACTTTTACAACTTCGACAAACGGATTGATGGGTTCAGCAATCTGTTCCTTCCACATCGACTCGATCCAAGAAGCTTTCCGTGGGAAATTTAAAGAACAAGCAACGAGTAGCAGTGCATGGTTGCCTGTACTATCAAATAAAGTACCAGAACCACGTCCGGGACAGTGTGTGAACGACACAGAATCTTTACCGGATACCGTCCTCAATTTTATAAGATCTCATCCATTGATGGACTCTGCGATCTCGCACGAGAACGAGAAGCCGGTCTTTTACAAACGTGACGTCATGCTCACACGACTCGTTGTCGATAAACTTCGTATCGACTTTGTCGGCATTGATTTGGATTACACGGTCTACTACGCTGGATCCAGTGAGTGCTTTTCCTCTCATCTTACGTAGTAAAAGAAAGCAGCTCTTTTCTCTCTCTCTCTCTCTCTCTTTCTCTCTCTTTCTCTTTTTCTCTTCCTCTTGTACCTCTTTTTTTTCCCTCATTTTATCGATATTCCGATGAAGCGAGAAGATTCTCGTTTTATCTCAAAGAGAAAAAGAAGAAACCTAATCGAGAAGCAAAGAGGGAGAAATAAGAGGAATGAACATTTTTCTCATGAAATTATTAACGCTAAGAAAAGCTATTGTTTCTAATATAAACTATCATATTTTTTTTTTAATTATGTTCTACGCTTTACGATTAGATCTGAAAGGCCATTTATGATACGTTTGAATTCATAAAAATGAAATTTATTTACTTATTTTTTTTTTGTTCATTTTTCTTTTTTTTCTTTTTTTTTTCTTTTTTTTTTTTTTCTTTTTTCTTTATTAAAACGATCACGAAAGAGTATTAATAGATGTAGTTCAAGAGAATTCTAAGCCTCTCGTATGTTCTTATCAACGATTATCTCTGGATCTCGTACAAATTTCATTATCTAATAAACCGGCCGAAGCTTTGACGCGTCTCGTTAGTTGCGTGTAGTTATGGTATTAACGGTTGCACGATAAAAGTATGTCATTTGTCGGAGATACGGTCGTATGAAAATAATTAACTTTTGCGGGATTAAATATATGACTTTTTATTTATCGAAGCAAACGAGATTATAAGCTCTCGTTGTTTTTCTCGTACGGTTGTTATTTCATTCATTTTGTTTTACCTTAATTATTAATCGTTCCCTTTTCGAAAATATAGATTGACATAAAAAGTTATTATTGGCATAATTTAAAATAATTAAAATTGTTCGATAAAAATTTTAGATAATATTCAATTATTATTATTATTATTATTATTATTATTATTATTATTATTATTATTATTATATTTAATAATATTATATTATATAATGAATTTATGATCTATTAAAAAGTTCTAATTGGACGTTTATGGTTTCGTTATTGGAGCGAAATTCTAATAAGGATTTGACACGCCTGTTACAGGTGATGGCCGCGTTCATAAGGTCGTCCAATGGATCGACAACAACGGCGAGTCTCAGTCGATCCTCTTGGACGTGTTTGACGTCACGCCTGGAGAACCGATTCAGGCGATGGAAATTTCTAAGGAG